CTTGTTCAGAACCTTAATCACTACACCAAATTGACACTCTTTGGATTTGCACAGAAGGAAAGACAACTGAAAAACAAAAATGTTGACTTAACCACAGGATAGAAGATAGAAGGCCTGTTTAGCCCAGCGTCTCATTTAGATGCATGAAGGAAACGTACATGAGTATGGGTTATTTTAGCGGTAGGGAACATATAATTCTTCAGCTATTGGATTCTAAAACTGATCAGCTCACGTTAGCTACTGTGCTGAAACAGTGAAGATGGTTATAGCTGCTGCTGTTACTGCTAATATATGCTTATCTATGTAAGACTTTTGAAAAACTGCTGAATACATCCAAGTTATCAAAGTCCATCTATGGAAAAAATGCAGTTATCTTTCCCCAGCCTCACCCCTTATTATATTTGGAATGATCACGTTGCATGCAAACGTGAACTTTGCACCCATGAGTCATAATTAAGGTAGTAATTGTGAATTGCTAAATTTATATTCCCTCCCTTTCAGTTAAAATGGAGATTTGGGGGCTAAATCAGCATTAGATTAAGCAAGCAAGACCTTTCGAATCCTATCATCCAGATTTTGTTCACAAAGACCTGCAAATGTTTGCACATTCACACGCTACTATCTCAGCTATTGCATTTTGAAAAAATTAATATGGAGTCACTTTATATCTACTTCCATTTCACAGGATCTGCAAATAAACTGGGAACAGGTAGTTATTGTTTCTCATGTGCCTTTATTTCCACTGATAACTTGGAGCTAAACATTAATTATCCAATGAGAGAGCTTTTCTTATATAAAATATTGCAATTTTGACACAACTATGTGCATGTGAATTATAAATGGGGATAGAAATAGTAATTGATTAATTCAACAACCAAAATGCAGTTGCTTGTTTGAGAGGCCCAAGCTGGTTGAGGGGAGAGGCAGAGAAATTGCTGAAAGAATAATTTATATATGTTGTCTGAGAGATTTGTATTAGGAAAAATTGGTTTCCAGTGGGTCTGAACACACCATGAATATGATTTGGAAAAAATGCTACAGATCTCATGCGAACACTGAACACCTCTGCTATTAATGAAAGAAATTTCCTAGTTCAGGCTTCTTCCTGAGCCTTAAAAATGTAGTTACTTTAAAAATGTAGTTACTTTAAGCCAGGAAAGATTTCACTGAAGCAGCCTTTAAAGCAAAGACCCTTTTTTTTATTAGGCTGCAAAAATGTGACTACTCATCTCTGCACACGAGGCTAAGCAGCTTCTTCTGAATCATTTCCAAAGCATGCAGAGTTTCCGCAGTAGGAAGTACCTTTATCCTACATACTGTTACATAAGGTGGGGAAAAAAAAATAAGTCAGCCAATTTGAAGCATAATTTTAGTGTTATTTGTTTAATTTCCCAAATAGCAATATATATTACATTTGTCCATTGTAATTATTAACAATTATTACATGGATTTAATTTAATTTTAATTTAATTTCATATTTTACACCCATGAGCTATTGAAATAGAAATTCATTGTAATAAGAATCAAGATGGAAAGATACATATATGGAAATTTACATGATCAGCATCACAAGAAAGAAAGACAGAGAACAAACAGAAATATATGATGCCATCAAGAGAGTAAAAGAATTGAAATGGAAATGGGCTGATCGTATAGCAAGAAGAACTGATGGTAGGTGGATCAAGGCAGTCATAAAATGGATCCCACGATGAAAAGTATCCACAAAAGAGACCTAAAACAAGATGGGGTGATGACATCAGCAAGTATTACAGGCCCAACTGGCAAAGGAAAACCCAAGACCATATTGGTTGGAAACATGAGGAAGAGGCCTTCATCCTGCAGTGGACAGACAATAGCTAGAATGATGAGGATGAGGATGAATAATCAAGAGCCCAAAGTCTAGAAATCCCTGGGTTTGTTTTTTTTTTTTGTTTTTTAGCAAAGGTGCCTTGTATTAAGACATACCAGGGATTTATCAAGTGCAACTTTGTCAAAACTTTCTATTTGAAATGTCTCAGAGGTGAATCTTCCCCAGAGCTGCTTGGAGATTTGGATCTTATTATTTCCTTCAAGTTTCATTGTTTTGCTCCTGAGGAAAGTCTTTGTGTATATCATTCCACTTATCTCAACTGAAGCAAAGATTAAAAGACAGAGAGTCCCTCTCTCCTGAAAAACAAATTGGTGCTGGTATCTATCCTGATGCTTTTATTATACTGTTTGTATCTAAACAGATTGCAAATGCCAAAGGTGTGTCATGAATATCTTCAGTGACATATTTTGTTGTTAGTACTATCAGTCCAAAATACCCACTGCTAGCAAATTGCCTACTTTGATTCACATGCAAATAAAACAACAAAGGGCACCAAGGGAACATAAGTCAGGCAACTTAAATTTACACAAAGCCACAGGGAAATATAAAGTTCTCTATGAAATAATGTTTTTTCACAGAATAAGCATATAGTAATGGTGTTTCTGTCCCAGGATTTGGAGGATCCAAGCTGAATCTAGGTCAATGGTCTTAGATAGTTTAATTTCTGTGTTCAAGAAAGTTCATAATGTGACCTGATTTCAGATAAACCATCTTTGCAACAATGCCAGGAAAAGTGGAAAGAAATGGCTAACTGCCATCATTTCCCACAAAAAATGTGTCGAAGATTTTCAGGCTGCATATACCATACGTATGTCATTGACCCCAACAGAGCTCACTTCTAAGTACACTTCTAATTACACACACATCTATAATTACTTCTATGCTTCTTTAAAAGCAAGTAGTACTGAATCTAAAGAGCATTAGTCACAGCAACTAGAAATTAAATATTGAAGAATTATTTCAGAATTATACTGCTGAGTAATCATGCAGTGGAATGCTGCATTAGTAGCATCTAGAATTTTCCAAAACAAAATTGTTCTGTAGTTCCTGGTCAAAGAATGTTTCACGAGATGAAAACTGACTATGCTATTTCACTGGCAAATATCTATGCTACTTGATGGAAGCCAAGAAAACAACTAATAAGTCACCCCAGAGTTCTCATTCATGGCACATATGAACAGGTCCAAATTATCCTACTTTGGACATATTATGCAAAGATCCAGTGCTCTGGAGAAGGCTCTGATGCTGGCTGGAAAGAGAGGAAGAGGACAACCAGCAGCAATATGAATGGACTTGGTTATAGTAGCAATGAGTGCACCCCTGGGAGACCCAAAGGTACAGGTTAAGTACAGATTGTCATGGAGAAAATCTATGTGGTCGCTATGAGTCAAAAATGATTTGATGGCATATAATCATTCAATCAATCAGTTTAGTGGGACCTGTGAGAATTTTATGTTACATTCTAAATCTCTTAAGGAAGAAAGATTTCTTCGCTTCTCTAGACATTTCTTTCCATTGTTTCCCACACCTTTCTTTCTCCACCCCCTCTTGTATTGTAATCTGTTAGCTATTGTTCCCTGGGAACAAGGAACAAGAAGTTCTGTTTGACTCCTTTGTTCAGATTCATCATTAAGGAGAAGTAAGAAAGCATCATCTGCATACAAGCTTTATCTTGAAGGTCCTTTGGTTCTTATCAATTTCTTCTCCATCACCATTTGCAAGGGGTGGCAAGCAACCAACTGTCTAAAGCAGTGGTTCTCAACCTGTGGGTCGGGACCCCATTTGGGGTCGAATGACCATTTCATGGGGGTCACCAAACAAGGATGTCCGCCATTTTTCCTTTTCTTTGGCCACGCCCCTGGCACCCGGTGATGTATAAGTGGTTGGGGGTCACCACAACATGGGGAATTGTATTATGGGGTTGCGGCATTAGAAAGGTTGAGAACCACTGGTCTAAAGGTTATTTTCTTGTGTTTACAGCTTTCTAAGTGAAAGATTGACATGCGAGACATAAACATCTCCACCTTTTTTGCTCTGAGTCATTAGATTTTAATATGTCTGATTCAGAGGTAGGCTGCCTGCTACTCTCTGAGCAGTAATTATTAAATGTTAGCTATTCCCTATATTTTTTTGGAGTTCAAGATGGGATACCTGACATTTCTTTCTTGTTTTTTTCCATAACAACCCTGTGATATGGGCTGGGCTGAGAGACATTGCTCAAAATCATCTACCATTCCTGCATATACAAACAAAGTCAAAAGTATTGGATTAATTATGTATCACCAAGTTATTGTCAACTTTTGATGCCCATGTAGAGTAGTATTGGAAATACTATTCTACGTGAAAATAAAATGAGGTGACCTTTTTCAACATATAGATGCATCCAAAAATATTGGTATCCCTCCCCTTTGACTCAAAGAATCCCAATTTACCATGGAATCCATTGAAACTAATAGATGTAAATGGCATCCACCATAGTCCATAATCTACAAAGCAGATACTTTGATGTATGACTTAACATACATCACCAAAGGGGAGGGGTACCAATATTTTTGGATGCATCTGTATATGTTGAAAAAGGTCATCTCATTTTATTTTCACGTTTACAGGGTTTTATTTAAACAAATCTGATTCTTCCTCCCATTTTTTCCCCAGTGAGAACAGAATAGGCTCTTCTACCTCTATTATCCCTGCCTTGTGTTCCTCCCATTCTAGAAGTATGAGAGAAGCTTTTTAAAAAGCAAGAACTGTTCAATCACCTGTAGCTTTTTAAATGTTCTCAAGATTTAGTATCAGAAATGAGTACTGCTGAAAGAAATATAATTAGGGCAAAATGTTGCCGTTAAACGGCCAAGAGAAGGATGCTACTCTTGTCTATTCCTAATTCTACTAAACTGGTAAACCCATTTCATTTCCTTATGAAACAGACTGATCCTAAAATCTGTGATAATATGCCACTTGTTAAGTGTAGCTTATCCAAATTCGGTAGACTGTGGTCCCTGGAAATTATTTTCAAAGAATGTAAACAGTAAACATTTTATATCTCCTCCATATGAAAGCACATTTACTGCCATATTTTGTAGAGTTTGATATATTATCCCATGCATACATAAATACACCTATCCAAAAATAAGAAGCACTGCCTTTATTAATACAAGGTTGATAACAAAACATTCTGAAAACCACTGACCTTGAAAAGAGTTTCATAGTAGTCCAGTGAAATGCCACAGCTGAAAATTGAAACTAGTAATGCAGATTAAACAACCAAACTATTGTAAACAGATATGGTAGCCTGTTTGTCCATTTTGTTGTAGTAGAACAATAGATTTTTAAAAAGGCCATCTGTAGAGCTCAAGATAGCTCTAAAGGAAACTACATTAGAAAAAGAGCTGTTTCTTTAAAGCTGTTGATCTTGCTATATTCCTAACCAAATTATATGGATTTTGCAGGCATGCTTATATTCCACTCAAGATGCATTTGCTAAATTTGTCAGATTTATAAATTTACAAATATATATTAGTTTATGTTATGCTATTCAGCATTAGAAGTGTGGAGTTAAATAATCATTTGGCTTTTAAGCATGGTCCTATAGAATCATGCTTTAGTTTTTACTTATATTTTATTTTCCAAAGTATTTAAATGTCTTCTGTGAAATATATATCATACATCTGTAATTTTGAAAGTCAAATATTCAGTAAAGGAATTATTTTCCTACATAAGACGATAGTACCAACAGGGATAATTATTATATTTCTGTTTGTAGCTGAATTATTAGCTACAGTTGCAATGGATGGCTTTCTTATCTGCAGACTGCACCATTTGTACCATGTTTTCGATTCATGCAAATGTTTTCAGATTTAAATTGGCTTTGGCTTAGAAACATAATATAAACATAAATTCCATCATGATAACAGCATTTATACATTGTACAAATAGCACTAGAAAGGCACAAAAATTGTGGACTTCAATTCTGTACACATTTACTTCTTCCCTGTAAACTCACATCAATTTCAGAGTCCTTATTTAATTCCACAGAGTAATTAATTGTATTAAATCAATATACACAAAATGACTTTATATCCATTTGTAAAGTGGGACTATAGCCATCTTATGGTCATAACAATCTATAAAAAGCATTTTGGAATCTAGAAGGACTTGGTGTTGAAAATTTCACAATAAATTTAAGTTCCTATACTGTATGAATTTTAAGGCTGAAACTGTAAACAGATTACTTCATATGTTTATACAATTAACAATATAAAAATATTGTGTAAAAATAAATAGCCTAAATAGAATTTTTCTTACTATATGTTCAAATGTTTTTAGGGCAGAGTATTATAGTTGTCAATGTATTATCAACTGAAGGTAATAATTGTGCAATTAGGATTGTATGCTTTTTCTAAATAAAAAGTCTTGACTAATCATATAAATACTGTATTATAGTGAGGTAGAGGTATTAGACTTCTCTTTTGTTTTAAAGTTGGCATGAGCTAGATTTATATTTTCACTACATATTCTACACATTGTAAATACATAAACAAATTTAATAGAGGCTTTTAATTCTAAAAAAATAAATTAACTTTCAGTTGGCTACTAAAAGCTATGTGTGTTCCTTTTTCCAATTTATTTTTAAAAAGTTAATGGAAAAGTACTAGTCTGAAGTTTTAGATTGTAAACCAAAATACAGTTTTACTATATTTTGCTTTCTTTTCAACTACAAAAATCAGATCAGCTGAAAATTAGAGTGGTATAAAATGGGACCTTGTTCAATTATTGTATAAAAAACACACTCCCACACCTAATAAATGGCACGTCATTAGGAGAGGGGAGCTGCTACAAATGAATTTGCTAAATCCACTTTAATGGAACAGGATAGGATGCCAAGAAATGCTAAAAACATTTTTGTTCCCACAACAGGACATTTAAGACACTTTTGAGAACAGAATGCATGAATAAAATACGTTTTTGTTTCAAAATAAAGGATCTTATATATAATGTCAATTCTTAATTCTATCAGTGCTTACTCAGAAGTCTGTCCAGCAGGATTTTCTCTCAAGTATTGCAGGACTGATGCCTTACTAAGGTGATTTTTGTGGAAATTTGTACCTAAACCTTACCTTTTATTGAAAAACAACATCAACAACCCCTCAACAGATAAAATTCAGATGAAACCTCAACAATTCACATTTAATAAATGAAGCTTTGTTGGAAAAGAACTGTCTTATCAGAGCAGCAACTATCAAGTTAAAACATAATCCTATGCATAATCTTTTGTTTTTTCCTCTTTAGATTAGACTTGCTGAAGTGAAACACACTCAAATCTACGAAGCAAAATGTTTTTTTTTTTTTGGTGTGTGTGAATGTGAGATAGACCCAAGTTTAATTAAACGTTGATATTACTGTTTCAGTGAGATAAATGCCCAAAAAACAATTCTGAAATCGGTCTGTGTTTTGATACAGTTTCACTCTGTTCTTCCTCCAGGGCCTGAGACAAGGAAGAAGTAGAAGTAGAAAAAGCCCTTCGTGAATTCAACTTCCTCCTCGGGGCTGTGGCTATGTTAAGAAATTTATTGATGGGGGCAGGTTTCTTTAAGCCTTTTGTCAGTTCATAGAAGGCAACATCGTCAGATAAAAGCCCCAGGAAAGTGCTGGTGGAACTTAAGATAGAAGCAGCCACTTTTATGTTCTTCTTGATGGAAGGGTTCTTCTGCTCAGTGTGAAGACCAGGGTCATTTAAGAGATGTCTAACAGCAAAAGAAGAGCCTTCTTTTAAATACTGGAATGGTTTTTTCCCACTATAGTCTCTTAAGTTGACTTTGGCATTGTAAACTTTGACCAGCTGGGCAATAACTTCTTCCTGCCCGTGGAGAGCAGCAATATGAAGCGGAGTATAACCCCCGTAGGACTTAGCATTGACGTCCACGTGAATACCTCCTTTCTCGGCCATTTCTAGGACTTTGCTCAGTGTTTTGGAATTTCCACTTTTAGCCGCCCAGTGGAGAACCGTGAAGCCACTCATGAAATCTCTTTTGCTCACCAGATTCAGGTCAATGAGCAACAAGCCATGAAGTTGCTGGGACCACTGGCCGGCTGTGGCTTTCACCACCCACTGGTGCTCAACAGGTTCCAAGGGCACGTTGGCCGTGCTGTCAGCTTCCTCGCCCACCTTTAGCGGTTTCGACCCCCTTCCCAGGGAAAGGGATTTGGGCCCCATTTCGTTTAGCTGCCGCCTCTTAGCATGAGGGGAGGGAGACAGGAGGATGGCAGGGAGATCCACTTGGAGCCCATCTTCGACAGGGATCGGGTCCTGCTCAGGGCTCAGCTCCTCAGATCTCTTAGCATTGGTGGAGGAAGGGGGCACAGAGCGGACGGGCAGCATGCAGGGCTTTCGGGAGGCACCCTTGGGGGCCAAATGGTCTTTGCCACTGGGGACTTTGAGGATTTCCGAGCCTCCCCTTTGAAAGCGGTTCTTCAGCTGGAACACAGAGACAGTCGGGTGGGCTTCAGGGTCCTCCTTTCCAGGAGAGTTCAGAGGCGCCACGAAGCCGGCAGGGCAAGCGGGCGCTCCAGAATCGGCGCCTTCGGTTTCCTCGTCAGACAGATCCCCGAAGGGGATCGATCTCGGTTCCGCATCGGAGTCGTCCCGGGCCAACTGGTACCTGTTTCTTAGCACGACCAACTTGATCCCCTCCGAGACCCGCACGACAGCCACGCTGTTGACCAAGTGGACGAAGCGCTGGCGGAGAGCAGCCCGGACCTCCGGCGTCGCCTCGGGCACGTCCAACAACGGCTTGAAGTGGGCGAGCAGCAGCGAATTGCGCACCTGGCCGCCCTGTTCCCGAAGGAAGCCCAGCACGGCGGCTTGATTCAGGAATTCAGCCATGCCCGCCGCGGCCAGGTGGGTGAAGTGGAAAGGGCGGGCGAAGGCCGTGGGAGCCGCGGAGAGAGCTGGCGACCGCTCCCCGGGAGGCTGCAGCCACCTGCCGCCGCTTCCTCGGCTGTGTAAGAATCTGTCTCTGGCGCCCTCCTTTCCAGCTGGCCGAGCGCGCACGAGGTAAAGTGCGGTACAAAAACCGCCCGCCGCGGAGGTGGCTGGGATTTGTAGTGAAAAACACACCTGAGTTCGAACGCCGCGTTGTTTTCTGAAAGCGGAGGCCGCTCTCAGGCGCAGCCGCAAGATCGTCCTACCCGAGCAACAGGCGTCTCCCGCCTTCCATCCCAGCACGTGCGTCAAAGTAAGAGGAGAAGCGCCCCCTCTTGCTCTGGGGAGGAAAAAAAAAAGCAGGGGAGCGTTTCTGAGCTATTGAGGGTTGATTTTTTTTTTTTTTCCTGCAGCCCCTCTGAGACGCGCGGAGCCCTCTTGCTATGGCCCAGGTAAATCAATCGCTCCTCAGCCTGGCAGAGGCCAGGGCAGCAAAGTGGCTGGCAGCGAGTTATCCTGAGGCCTCCCAGGCGCTCTTTTACGCCTTTTAATATATGGCATTGCGTGGGCTTTCTCAGGAGGAGGAGTTCTGTTGACACAGAAATACGCTCTGAAAGATAGTGTTGGTCTGTGGCTCTCTGCAGTGTTGGAGAAAGCAGAGCAAGCTCGAAGAAGAGCATATATGTGTGAATATAACACAGAAGCCCCCTTTCTGTTGGTGCCACACATTTCCTCCCCACCACACACCACCACCCTCACTTTGCCTCTGTCTGAAGCAAGGATGGGCTTTCTGGAGCCCACTTGGTGCTCTCTCCAACTGACTGCTGTCTAATAGAAGAGAATATATATGGTTTAGGTTTGAACTGAGAAGTTGCTCTCAGTGCTTGATTGCTTGCTGGCAGATGTTTCATTACCTGACTAGGTAATATCGTTGACGCTAGTGAATGTCGGATTTGCTCCCTGTATACAGTACATACAGTCACTTGCTCTGCCAGTGTTGGTGGGGGGGCATAGTCTTCATAGTAGTTCTTGATTAAAGTATTGTTTTCTGGTTGTTTGGCATTCTTTCCTGCTTATCTGACTGCAGAGGATGTGTTCTGGGCTTTTTGTTTCCTTGTTTGTTTTTTATTGTCTGTTTTTATTGAATCGTTTGTAAATGTGGTTTATCTCTATGTGTCTGTTAATGGCTGGTTTGTCTGAGTGCAAAGTTTCCAGGAAGTCCCTAGAGTTTATGGAGTTAGCTTGGTTGAGGGGTGTCAAACTCAATTTCACTGAGGGCCGCATCAGCATTGCAGTTGCCCTGGAGGGGCCGGGTTGGTGTGGCCAGAGTGGGTGCACCTACTGGGTGGGTGTGGATGGAGTTGGTGTGACCTACTGGGTGTGTGTGGCCAGTTCTACATCATTCACGTTAAGGGTGCCTATGGGGGCCTGGGCAGGAGTGGGACAGATCTGAGGGTCTCTGGCAGAAGGGGTGGGACCAGGGCAAGTGCCAAGACATGGTCCACTGGGGCAAATGCCAAGATGGCCACCACAAAATTGTACATTGGCTTCCAACTGGCCTGGGCCAGGGCCAAGGCAGCGGAGGCGTTCCCTCACTGTTTCCAGGATGGTTTCGCGGGCCACATGAAACCACTTCGCGGGCCGCATCCAGCCCCTGGGCCTTGTGTTTGACATGTCTGGTCTAGGATATTGAGTTTCCCAGTTGAAACTATGATTGAGTCTGTCCCCATATTGTGAAATTAAGGAGTTTCCATTGCATCTTCTGACTGCTAGTTGATATTCATGGATGAGTTCTGCTAGTCTTCTGCCTGTCTGTCCAACATAGTGGCTGTTACGGTATGTTATAGAACAGTGGTTCTCAACCTGTGGGTCGGGACCCCATTTGGGGTCGAATGACCATTTCACGGGGGTCGCCAAACAAGGCTGTCCGCCATTTTCCCCCCTTTTCTTTGGCCATGCCCCTGGCACCCGGTGATGTATAAGTGGTTGGGGGTCACCACAACATGGGGAACTGTATTATGGGGTCGCGGCATTAGAAAGGTTGAGAACCACTGTTATAGAATGTAGATGACTCATTTTTTTCCCCTTGAGCCCCTGAGTCTTTTGGTTCACTTAAGATATTTTGGAGTGCTTTAGTTCAGGGGTCCCCAACCCCTGGTCTGTGGACCGGTACCGGGCTGCGGCATGCCAGTATGCCAGCAACTGGTTCGCACACACAAGCAAATCCTGATGCGCGGGATGCAGGCAGCACACAAAACCACGCCCTCTCCAGGCATGGAAAAACTTCTCTTCACAGAACCGGTTTCTGATGTCCAAAAGGTTGGGGACCTCTGCTTTAGTTGGATTGTATGCTGTGGTGATACTTTATAGTTGTAATAGTCTGTGCATATTTTTGAGGTGTTTTTGATGCATATCGGTGTTATCCTTTTTCATAGCTTGGGATGGTTGTGCTGTAGTGGGTTGAGTGGTTAGGCACTTAGAGGTGCCTGGATATCCATTTTGTGGAAGATGTTGGTCTGTTTCCTTTTTCTGGTGTTCTGGATTGCTGTAGTGTGTTTGTGCTCATCTAAATAATGTTCTTACATAACTCTTCTTGGTTGTTACTTTGACAGTGGAGTGCTTGGATAGTGTGGGTGGTTTTTTTTTATAGAACTGTATTTTTAATTTGCTACCATTTCCTATGCTGGTGAGAATATCCAGGAAGGGTAGTGTGTTGCTGTTTCCTTCTTCGCTAGTGAATTTTATTCTTTTAAAGATGTTGCTGATTGTTTCATGTGTCTTCTCTTGTTCCTTTCTTTTATTACGACAAAGGTGTCATCCACATACTTTTTGGTTGCATGTATGGGAATGGTATAGTTTCTAGATGCTGCATTGAAGTCTCTGCTGTGAGTCCTGAGAGTAGGAATCCCATGGGCGTTCCTTTGAATTGTTGATATATATGGCCATTAAACTAAAAGTAGGTAGAGAAGCAGAAGTTCAAGATTTCCATGATTCTGGGTATTTTGATCTTAGTGTATTTGGTAAGGTTAAATGTATTGTGTAGTACTGCTGCTATATAGATTCTTTCAATAGATCTGAGCCTTGGATTTAAGTTGTGCTGTGATGTCAAATAAAACTATAATATCACCTTCTATTATTGTGTCTTTGATTTTCCAGAGCATTGTAGTAGGACATTGTTAGAATATTCACTCCCCTCTGTGAGATGTCCAAGCTTTTTTTTTTGTAATTATTTTAGCTGTGTTGTATGTTGGGGTACCTAGTAATGATATAACTGGATAAAGAGGTATGTTGGACTTCTATATTTTGGGGCACCCATAGAAGCATGGGCCCATTGCTTTTCATCCACCCTCTTCTTCTTTTGTGATTTAATCTTGATAATTGTGGTAAATTCTTTATCTGCTGGGAAGAGGAGGATGCTTTGGTCTTTCTATAAGTTTTGGGGGGTTGCTCTGTCCTCTGTTTTGTGTTGGTTCTGATTCTGTGTTCTTCTGGTCTTCGGTATGATTGTCTATCTTATGTTTTCTTGGGTCCCAAGGGCAAGTCCTGTGATTTCAGATGCTGCTTCTAAGGCTGAAAAGAATTCTAATCAGCACCATGTAATTTATAGTATAGGTAGTCCTTAACTTACGACCACAATTGAGCCCAAAATTTCTGTTGTTAAGTGAGTTTTGCCCCATGTTACGACATTTCTTGCCACTGTTGTTAAGTGAATCACTGAAGTTAATAAGTTAATAATCCGGATGTTAAGTGAATCTGGCTTCCCCATTGACTTTGCTTGTCAGTAGGTCACAAAAGGGGATCACATGATCCCAGAACATTGCAATCGTCATAAACAGGAGTCAATTGCCAAGCGTCTGAATTTTGATCATGTGACATGGGGAGGCTGCAAAGGTCGTAACTGTGAAAAATAGTCACAAGTCACTTTTTTCAGTGCCATTGTAACTTTGAACAGTCGCTAAATGAACTGTTGTAAGTCGAGGACTAACTGTATAGTTCCTGAAGGATATTGCATTCTGGGGAAAAATGCTTTCTGAAGAATTTTGTTTTCTGGAGAATGCTGATTGCTCTGACTGCTGTCTTTAAGAAATGATTATGTAGGAAGGTAGTATGTTCCAAAGCAAAATACCAGATACAGGTAGTCCTCGACTTAGAACAGTTCATTTAGTGACTGACCAAAGCTACAACGGCACTGAAAAAAATGACTTAATGTATTTCACAGCGACAGCCTTTGCATCAATCCCATGATCACGTGATCAAAATTCAGATGCTTGGCAACTGGTTCATTTTTATGACCTTTGCTGTGTCCCAAGGTCATGTGATCCCCTTTTGCCACCTTTTCACAAGCGAAGTCAATGGGGAAGCCAGGTTCACTTAACAACCGGGTTACTAACTTATCAGCTGCAGTGATTCACTTAACAACAGTGGCAAGAAAGGTCAGAAAATGGGGCAAAATTCACTTAACAAATGTTTCACTTAGCAACAAAAATTTTGGGCTCAGTTATGGTTGTAAGTTGAGGGCTACCTTTATATACAGGGACCATCCTCAGCATGGCAGAGAATATCTGGAAGAGCTATGGCACACCTAGGCAGCCATTTTGAGAATAGGAAGAAGTCTCCCATGACAGCATTTTGCTGACTGCCTCTGTCCTATGGTCTTAAAATTTCAGATGTGCCCACTGACCAATCTCTAAAGAAAAAGTGCAAGGCAATGAAACAAGATGATGGAGATTCAGAAATCAATTATATTGCCTTGTAGTAGCTATACCTTTGTGCCATTGTAGGGGTGTGAGGAAGAATTAAGGGTGTGAGGCAATTCACGTGGGCACGAATGTTCCCATCAATAAGCAAGTCCCAAAGCACTGATGTCTTTAGAGATGTGCACAACTCTTTTTTTTAAGTGTTATAAATCTATTTTCAAATCAACTTACATAAAATCACAGATCTGCACATTCTGTTGAATTATAGTTTGATTAGTGGTTGAGGTGTTGGTGTAGGAAATAGAAGACTGAGTTCTAGTCCCACCCATAATAGCCAGCTGGGTGACTTTGAGCCAGTCAATCTCTCTCTCATCCAATGTACCTCACAGGGTGGTTGCTATGGGGAAAATAGGAAGGAAAAGGAGTATTTGGTATGATCAACACCTTGGGTTACTTATACAGTAATAAAGGTGGGATTTAAGATCTAATAAATATACTAATCACTTGGAATTTAACCTGTTCAAAAGAGAGGTATGAACTAGCAACTCCTTGAAATAAATTCAGAACTCACAAGGGTTGCTCTAGGAGAGCACTGGCACTGATTCATCTGAATCCTATAGAAGGTATTAAAGAGCACCATCTGAAGTTGGTAATGGACGAGGAGAAACAAATTAAAATGTAATCCAGCTAAGATACTCAAAAAGCAAATACGAAACAAGAGCAAAGTTACACTTTAAAACATACCCAATAAAACTGAGGCCTTTGCCTTTGTTCTCTTGTGTTTATGGAGCCAAATTTGACTAGCTTCAGTAGGAAAAAAAATGACCACAGTATGAACAAATGTGTTCTTTAACTTCTAAAGGAAGACAGCAAAGTAAAGTGTTTGCTTGATTTATATCAGGATTTTCTTAAGTAATTAATTATTTTTGCTCCCAGTTGTTATGCCAAAACCACAGCTTTCAGAACAATTCCTGAAGCTTAGAAAATGAGGTGTCCTTAAGGTGTCCTTAAGATGTATCTGCTTAAGT